ATTTTGGCGCCGGAGCTTGCTTGCATGTCGAGTTGAAATACCCGGACAGACGCACACACACACACAGACGCACAAACACACACACACACACATACACATCGGTGTCGTCACAATATGTGTTTTTGCATATTATGCAAAAGCGCATAACTAGGAATAGAGTTGTAACACTGCTGCTTAGAGTTGCTTTAGTTTTATTTATGAAATGACCGGTTTTTGCAACACTGATGCCTGTGACGCTGGAAGGGGAAGGGGGAGGAGGCAAAAGTTTCTTTGCCTCCCCCTCCCAGCTGGATCCGCTTACGGATGATTGTTTTTTCGGGATTTCATGAAATTTAGTGAGCAGAGATCATTCGGCTGAAATTTGGTGATTAGAGATCATCATTCTGCCCTTTTCCTTTAACTGAGCTCCGACTGATAGTCGCCGGTCATTTGTTTAACCCGTCCCAAATGAACGACTTTGAGCATTATTCTTGATTTTGTTTCACAAATTTTCAGCAAAAATTTTGATGTGGGTGTTCGTTTTCATATTTTACTTCACATTTTACTTTCGAGCGGCTTATGGGACATTTTCATTTTGGTTATTGTTGATTCATCAATAATAATCAAAATGAGTCTGTAATTTTGTGCGATGAAAGTAATGCCATATAGCAGCAGACTTGACAATTTTTCCACTTAATGCTTGAAAAAAGCTTTGACTTACTGATCTAAATCCAGACCATTTGGTCAACTGCCACAGCAATCGGATGGAAGTGCAGCTGGAGTTTGAAGAACCATTCAGCGGTGTTATTTTTGCTGATCAAGCATACAACGATAGTTCGTGTCGCTGGGAAGGGCAACTCTCCAGCAAACTAAATTTTACAATTCCAGTTTCGACAAAAGATGGTCTAAGCGCTTGTGAAGCCACGTTAGAGCAGGTATTCTTGAATGAGTACAATTAATAAATAATCTCGCTCTTCATATTTTCACCAAATTTGCTCTGAATTCATTTTGCCGCAGTACAGGCACTTATTCGTTTTTTTT